TTCTTTACTCATGATCTTCAAGAGAATGGTGCTATTGATATTCAACAAGTTCGATCTAGTGATAATCTCGCCGACTTATTCACGAAGGCACCGCCTACAAAGAGATTCGAGGAACTAGTCTACAAAATTGGACTACGACAGTTCAAGGACCTCGGGTGATGATCTTACAGGATAGGGATGTAGACAAAAGGGGGAGTAATTTTGTATTTTTTTCTTTTCTTTCTAGCAAAGTATTAGCTCAAATGATGGATAAGAATAATGTACTCTTTTTCCTTCACTAGGGTTTTTCCTATAGGGTTTACCTAGTAAGGTTTTAATAAGGCATATTCTTGGTTGAATAAATGGACATCATATTATTATTATGGTTTTTTATTTCTAGCCCCAAATGTTTACTCATCTTTACCTATAAACCCAATCACTATTTGTTGTATCCATAAACCCAAATATCTTTTTGTATTTATCTTTAAGCCCAACTTACAAAATACAATACTTGTATGCGTGGGCCCCTCAATTTTTTTTAATTCCAACTCTACCCTTTGTAGTTTACTAATGTGTTATTTATTAAGTGGGCCCCTTCAAAAATGTAAAATATTAAAAATTTAGAGAGAGAGAGAGAGAGAGAGAGAGAGGGGGGGAGGGAGAGGAACCAGTGCTCCTTTGTTTCTCTGCTATCCCGCACGAGAGAGGTAAGAAAAGCGTTCATCCTCTTATTCATGAATTATTTGACATTGCTATTCATGAAAATTAGTTAATTTTGTTATATTTGACAGTATAACAAATAAAAATTATTTGAAATTGTTATTCATGAATTCATAAAAATTAGTTAAATTTGTTATATTTGATAAAAATGTTAGTTACATTTGTTACTATTCAACCACTCATTAATTTCACATAATTTCACGTTAATTATTTGACATGATTAGTTCACATTAATTTCTCATTATTAATCATGAATTCATAAAAATTAGTTCAATTTGTTATATTTGATGAAATTTTAGTTAAATTTGATTTTATCCGATCACTCATTAATTCACATAATCTTTGATTAATTTCACATAATTTGATTTTAGTTGTCTATCTTTGATGAAATTTTCCTTAAATTTGTTTTATTTTTGATGACAAACATAGATGGATGAAGAATTGTATTGTGCATTGACGGATTTTAGAGGAAATAATCACTTTTTAAAATTAAATATCAACGGGAGTTACAATGATTTGGCGTTTACGGTGCAAAGTCCAATTGCTTGTAATGCAAGCATGATGCAGTTGACTTACAAAGTACCCCACACACAAGAAATGTATGTGCGTGTATGTGATGATGATGATGTATCAATAATGTTCAATATACATCGAAGTTACAAGGAGAATGTAGTTGTCATGAATGCTGAGATGGATCGAGAGATATTATTTGGGCAACAATGTAATACTGTCCATATAAGGTAATTTACACATTTGATATACATTAATATTTTTACCATCAATTCTAAAGTTCTCAATTTCTTTAAACTTTTGTACAATTTTCTATGCAGGAATCCGTACATCCCTTCTAGTGAAGAACATGTATCTTATTCACAAAATCCTTCTTCTTCACAAAATATGTCTCAGAAAGTTGGGAGCTCTAGTATGATTCCTCTTGCATGGCACAATGCAATTAGAAGTGTTGGTCAAGAATTTCATAATGTTGACCATTATCGGTGGAGTTTAAGTAATTACTCTATTGCACGAGGATTTAATTTGTTTTTGTAAAAAATGAACGTAGAAGAGTGACAGTAAAATGTAGGACCGTAAACTATGACTGGATGGTTCATTGCACCCGCCGTAGAGATAGTGACAGATTCTATGTAAAAAAAATGTGTAGTACTCATAGTTGTTTGGGAGGAGGAATAGGAAAGGAAGGATATAGCCGGGCATCTCGCAAGTGGAATGCTAATCATCTCAAATCCATCTTAAAGGAACAACCCACTTATCGCCCAACTGATTTCCAGAAGAAGCTTAAAACGGAATTTGGATTGAACATCCCTTATCATAGGATTTGGTGGGGAAAAGAGCTAGCTCAAAGTGAATTTTATGGTGATACTAAATATTCATATGACCAACTCCGATGGTATAAAGATAAAGTTATGGAAACTAATCCGAGATCAATTATTCACTTAGAGCATGAAGATGGAAGATTTACAAGAGTTTTCGTACCTTATTATGCTTGTTGGAAGGCGTTTATGGAGGGATGCAGGCCAATGTTATTCTGGATGGTACTCATCTTGTTGATATGTATGTAGAGTTCAATCTAATCAAAACTTGCATTAATGTACCATTCTTCATAAATTTATTATACTTTCATTCATAATTGCTACCATCCCGGTTATAGGTATAAAGGAACCTTACTTGCCGCAACTGCTCTAAATGAAGATGGAGGAATGTTTCCCGTAGCAATTTGCATATGCGGGACGGAAAAAGAGAGTAATTGGGAATGGTTTTTGGAATGCATTCGAGACATTCTCTTCAACGATGAAGATCCGTGTACTCCAGATGATGAGCTGGTTTTAATCTCCGATAGGGACAAAGGGCTTCAGAATTCCGTTAAGAAATACTTTCCATGGTCGCATCACTCTTATTGTATTCGTCATCTTTTGGCTAATTTTAAGAATAACTTGTCAAAGAAAGGCATTGTACCACCTTTACGAGATGAATGGTGCAAATTATGAAGAGGGCTTCTTATACATACACTACTCGTTCCTATAACAATGAGTGCAATGAGCTACGGAACAAATCTGAGATCGCCTATAATGAATTGTTGTGGATGAGTCCAGAAAATTGGGCTAATAGCTATTTTCCTGGGAAGAGGTTAATATGAAAGTTTACTTACAATCCAGAAAATTGGGCTAATAGCTATTTTCCTGGGAAGAGGTTAATATGAAAGTTTACTTACAATTTTAAATGCAAATCATTTAGTTATATGTACATCTCTACTTACCATTTATTGACATGCATGTAGATATGGATGGTTGACATCAAACCTAGCGGAGTCATTCAATGCTTGGATCAAAGAAGCTCCCAATTACCCAAACACTTGATAATATTCGTAAGAAAATGATGAGGATGAGTTTTGAAAGGCGGGAGGCATCCCACAAGTGGACCACAACATTTGTTCCTATGAGTTTTGAAAGGCGGGAGGCATCCCACAAGTGGACCACAACATTTGTTCCTACTGTGGAAGAGCACATCATTCAAATCAATGAGCAATCACGTTGTCTTTCTGTTATTCCTTCTACTACGGGAAGGTATGAGGTCTATGATTTCCCCACCGTTGAAATAGATTTGAATGAGCGTACATGCACTTGTCGTGAATGGCAAGTTGTCGGGCTACCTTTCAAACATGCGGCTACGGTAATTCGACAAAATAACGGCATACTTTACTCATATATTTCTCACTACTTTAGTGTGGAAACATACCGCAAATGCTACTCCTTTCCTATATACCCAATTCCTTACGATGACAAACCACATGTAGATGATGAAAATATGGTGATTCGACCGCCGACAACATCAATTCTTCATGGAAGACCAAGAATAAAGCGCATTCCTCCAGGATTGAATCCCCATAAAGAGTTAAAATATAGTAGATATCAACAGTATGGTCACAACCGTAGAACAGACTACATATATTGTAAATATGCATGACTTTTGTGTTATAGTTTTGTGAAAGTGGCATACTTTTGAATCAATGTAAGACATGTTTTTAGCATAATTTGCTATGTGTTTGTTATGTGTTTGATATGTGTTTCTATGATCGAGAGTTATGTGATACTTTTGGATCAATAGAAGGCATGTTTTTATCTTAATTTTGGATGCAAGATATATGTTTGTGGTTTGGTTTGTCATAAGTCTATCCCTCTACGCTTTCATTCTATCACTATACACTTTCAGCATAACACGCTACACTTACATGATAACACGCTACACTTACATGATAACCCGCTACACTTGCAGTATAACCCGCTACATTTACAGTGTAACCCGCTACACTTACAGGATAACCCGTTACACTTACAGTGTAACACTCTACACTTATATTACAGACTAACCCGCTACACTTACAGGCTAACTAGCTACACTTGTAATGTGACCCGCTACCCGCTACACATAGGATAACTCGCTCCACTTGCAGTATAACCCGCTACACTTACAGATAACCGCTACACTTGCAGTGTAACCCGCTACGCTTGTAGTGTAACCCGCTACACTTACAGTATAACCCGCTACACTTACAGGATAATCCGCTACACTTGTAATGTAACCCTCTACACTTACACTACAAGATAACTCGCTACACTTACAGTGTAACCCGCTACACTTGTAGTGTAACCCGCTACACTTGCAGGATAACCCGCTACACTTACAGGATAAACCCGCTACACTTGCAATACAACTCACTACACTTACAGGCTAACCCGCTACATTTACAGGATAACCCGCTACACTTGCAGTGCAACCCGCTACACTTGTAGTGTAACACGCTACACTTACAGGATAACCCGCTATACTTGTAGTTTTACCCGCTACACTTACAGAATAACCTACTACACTTACAGTGTAACCCGCTACACTTGTAATGTAACACGCTACACTTACAGGATAATCCACTACACTTGTAGTTTTATGCGCTACACTTAAAAGATAACCCGCTACACTTACAGAATAACCCGCTACACTTACAGTATAACCCGCTCTACTTGCAGTGTAACCCGCTACACTTACAGGATAACCCGCTACACTTACAGTGTAACACGCTACACTTACAGGATAACCCGCTACACTTACAATCACAAACATACATATGTTATAAAACATCCTCTACACTTAACACGCTACATTTTCAATCACAAACACAGTCACAAGCTGAAATATGCTACGAACTCACCACTACATTTACAGTCACAATTTGAGATATGTAACAAATTTTAACAATGACCAATTTAAGATACATTCACAGTCACAACTAATTGCACAAATTGAGATATGTTATAAAACATCCTCACATATATGTTACAAAACATCCTCACACGTATTTCAGATACATTCACAGGCACAAACTTAGTCAAAAGCTGAGAAATGTTACAAAACATACTCACACATATTTCAGATACACATATTACAGAACAATTTTAACTTAAATCCAGTTTTCCCTCTTCTTTATTGTTTTTCCTTTTCTAGCTGGCTGATTACTCGTCTCGGAGGCTCAACGGCTTAAACAAGCATCATTAGGAACAATTTTATGTATATAAACAACTCTCAACATGCAAAGAATAATAAAGAATGTAATAGATAGTTGCAAACTTGGGTTAAAGGCTTTGTTTTTGTTTGCTATAATGGCTCATTCCTACAAAGCTTCCTGCTCTCTGATTCTTCAAAGCAAAAACCACCAAAGATTCACCATCAAGACTGCCAAAAGAGGTTATTCATCCTCATAGTTTCCAACCCATTCAACAGCCCACCAATCTTCGAAGGATCAGTAAGCTTCGAAGGGCCAAATTCAACATTGAAATTGCCCAAGGGCCTTCAAAGAATAGTAGACGAAATATAAAAGTATAGATGCCATTTGATGATTTACAACAATCAACAGGAAAAAAAAGGATAGATGGCATCTAGCATCCAGGGAAGTGAGCTTGCGGTGATTGTTTATATCCTGAAATCAACTGATACACGGATTAAAAGAATAGTAGACGGAATGTAAAAGTATAACCGCATACATTAAACATATTACAATTATGAAAAATATACCTTCAGATAGAAATAGAGCTACGATATGAGCTCTATGTCTTGCACAATCCTTTTGATCTATTGAAATTGCTTGACCGGATACGAGGCTAAACATATATAACATCAAGAACACCCCGCAATCTAGGCTACTGCAAGTACAAAAATAGGAAGTACAACTATAAAAAATTTCATGGAACCGCACTATATAAATTCTATGTATCGACAAATACAACAAAACAGCATAGGAATAGGTTGAATACACTCACCCACGTTGTTGAGGTACATCAACACTTTCTACCTCATGACAAGAGCTAATATCCATATTCCACTCATCAGGGATGGATGTCATAAGCTTCACTCTAAAATCAATGGCATCAGACATATATCCGTGTTGAAAAGAGTAATGATGAAACCTTCTATCTTTTATAGATAACACCAACATATGCCAATGAAATGAAGTTAGAAGTGGGAAAATAATCTTATCAAGTGCAAGGAAACGTGTACTAGTTATTGCCTTAAACATGCGTTCGACACTTGACGGATTATTTTCGTTGATGCATATCTACAAAAAACCAAAGAGAGAACTTAAACATGCGTTCGACACTTGACGGATTATTTTCGTTGATGCATATCTACAAAAAACCAAAGAGAGAATTATTTTTAGTATCGAAGATAATATAGATGCATATCTACAAAAAACCAAAGAGAGAATTATTTTTAGTATCGAAGATAATATATGAATAATACTTTTAATCTCCAATCGAGAATCCACTTACAGTAACCCTCAATGTATATGTCCTTTGCATAATTTGGACGCATCTCCATCAACATATTTAGAAGCACAACATAGGAGACTATAACCTGAAATGCACATAATAAAAAATTAAAGATTATATGCTACACGTGCATTGTGTGAAACATAAGGGAAAAAAGGGAACTTACGTCTCAACTAATTGCTTCTCCTTTAAATAATTCCAATGCATCCTTACGAGTTACCAAAGCATCACTTGATGACCACACTAACGTCTCCCTATATATGAAAAAAACTTACTAAATGTGTCAATGAAAACACAATAAAAGTCATAAAATAGGTCTTTCGATATTCCTTACATTGTCATTTTTTTGTCCTTCCAAAAGTTATCGAGTAGTCTCGTTCATCATCCCTTACTTCCTTCCTTCCCGGATATTTTGGTACACCTTTTCAATTACAAAGCGGGACAAAGGGAGAACGTGTAGATGGTCTGACGAGCCGCGATCTCGATAGAACCGTTCGTTTAACGGAAGGGGTTTTACGCTTGTCTTCAATCACCGCAATATCGCGCGGGCTAAGCAGAAATGCGTCATCATCCACTTCAATTGAATCCATGTCTACATCGTCATTAGCACCATCTCCACCATCATCTTTATCTACATTCATTCTATCTACATCTCCATCATCCTCATCCACATCACCACCACCACCCTCATCTCCTACTCCATCATCACTTTCACCTTCACCTTCGCCTACATCTCTATCATCCTCCTCATTCCTGCCATCCTCATCGCCTCCATCACTATCATCTTCATCATCCACGTCATCCTCATCTCCGCTATCACTATCGACATCCTCTTGCCTTCCACCGAATATTTCCCTCTTCATCTTCAAGAGAAGGTTTAATTCAACTTTTTTTTCATGGATGAGCTGATCCAAATCAGCTTCAGTGATTACCTACATGTGAACAACCCAAGTACAGTTACATTCATGAATCAAACCAACGAAAGCATATATAATTCACCAACATCGAATAATAAGTTCCATTTTAGCAAAAAAACACATTAAATTACTATTTGAACCCACATAATAATAGGAAAAGTAACATTACATACAAATAAACCATTATACATTTCCCTTGAATTTTGAAGAAGCAGCTTCTTTAGTGGAAGTGACAGCTTCAGCAATCCTCTTTTGAAATTTTAGAGACCTCGAGCCCTTATGATATTGGCTAAAATTATCCGGGTCTCTAACTAAATTCTGCAACGCATTCCTCCGTAAAGGTTTTGGACACTTATAGAAGCTTAGGATAGGTGGTAGGGATTTAGCTCCTACGCGAAGGCTTAACTTTCCCACAAGCTCATAAAACCATATCTGTGAAAAGATGATAATTTTAGTACAACAACAAATATGACTAAATGAACTAAATATATAAAATGAAAAATGACATAAATATAGAAAAGGTTAACTTACCACCAAAACCGATGCAAAGCCCCCCATATAACCACCTCTACATCGATTTCCCTCAGACCTCTTAGTGATGGTCTTTTTAGCTTTAACCATCTCAGTCCTTAACACATTAAACACTGCTTCTGCCCAATTGTACTCATTAAGAGTATCCAATTTCTCAGCATATCTAAAGGCAAACAAAGGGCAACCCATATTAGCTTGAGGACATAATATAAAGCCTATGATGAAAACCACGAGCATCTGTGGCACAAGAGGATCTCTACGCTCAGCCATCTCCTCAATAAGTTCACCCATCCTACCCCTTCTAGCACACACACAATCTTCTTCTTTCCCTCGTTAGTTTTCTTCTTTCCTCTCCTAGTCCTACACTTCCTATCCTCCACAATTTCTGCCTTCGACCTAAATGATAGCACGAGCTTGTAGATTGTCTCGCGATCGCTTCTATGGAACCTCGTATCTACAATAGATCCTCCTATCGGGAGACCCGTAATTCTCGCAACATCTTGAACACTAAAAGAGGTCCATTTTCCTCCAATTTTGAAGCTATTTTTTTCACATCAAAGACTTCCAGCAAGCAATCCACTAGAACATGTTGAATTGGAATATTAGGAACATCCAAATACTCATCGAAAGGTGTATCTCGAAGAGATGTCCGATGATCCTCTAACAATGTAGAAGAAATACGATTTTGGAGGAGGTCCCGGAAGTAGCCAATATTTGATGGAATTCTAACCACATCCATGGTGTGTGCTTTTCTGCAACCAAAAAAAAATTAAGCCAACGTTAGTATCATATCAATATTATACTTTTTTGAAAATGGGGAAGAACATGAAAGAGAGTGAGAGAGAAAACTGGTTAAGTGGGGAGAGAGAGGGGTGTTTTGGGGTTTTAACCGTGTGGTGTTTTGGGTTTTAACCGTGTGGGTGTACAAATACATATGTTTTTCCTATTGTATTTTGTAAGTTGGGCTCAAAGACAAATACAAAAAGATAATTAGGTTTATGAATACAACAAATACGTTGTAGTTGTGATGTTTCCTCCCTCGTTGGGGGCTATGGTTTCATTGGGTGTGAATTTACTTGACTGTATGAGTAAGTGAATTTTTAAATTAAAATTGAGGGCACACTATTGCAATCTTATACTTACTTAACTCGGGTTCACAATGCACAGAGACTGATAGCAATCAGAGCACTCTCATCGAGATCAAGGTGACGGCGTGGTCACTGCGACAGCGATGGGCGACGACGACGGCGAGATCAAGGCGACGGCGAGCTCACGGCGTGGTCACTGCTACGGCGACGGGCCACGGGGACTGCGACGACGAGCTTACGACGACGACGGCGATGACAGGAAGGGGGACGCAGGTTTTTCAATTAGGGCTGAGAGATGAAATGGGGAAAACGAGGAGAGAGAGAGAGAGAGAGGAACTGAGTTTTATATGGGGCTATTGAAAAGATATTTTGGGAATTTTACTATGTTTCTGTATAAATACATATGTTCAGCCTACTGTAATTTGAAAGTTGGGTTTAAAGATAAATACAAAAAAAAATTGGGTGTAGAGATACTGTTCAGCCTACTGTAATTTGAAAGTTGGGTTTAAAGATAAATACAAAAAAAAATTGGGTGTAGAGATACAACAAATAGTCATTGGGTTTATAGATAAAGTTTAAAGATAAATACAAAAAAAAATTGGGTGTAGAGATACAACAAATAGTCATTGGGTTTATAGATAAAGTGAAGTAAACAAATAGAGCTAGAAATAAAAAAACCCTTATTATTATTGATGTCCATTGGTATTCCAAGGAGTTATAGTAGTACTAATTGTAGATGTCTATTAACATTCCCAAATAAATTCTCATAAATATGATGTATGTAATATCTCCCTTTCACATGCCTATAAGTAGATGGCATGAGATTGTATTTGTAAGTGAATAAAAAAAAGAATTGAAGGATTGAGTGCTCATTATCTTCACTCTATTCTATTTGCTCATATTGCTATCCATTAGCTTTATAACAAACTGAGCATAACTATGCTCGGGAGCGTGTAACTACATATATAGTAAAAGGAACGGAAAGAAATCCTTGTTCATGGGTGCATCGTCAAACACAGTCTCAAAATAACAAATGTAGTAAAAGGAACGGAAAGAAATCCTTGTTCATGGGTGCATCGTCAAACACAGTCTCAAAATAACAAATGACATGTATTAAGTTAATACTATGCTCGTCAAACACAGTCTCAAAATAACAAATGACATGTATTAAGTTAATACTATGCTCATTACGCCAGTAAAAAGAAATAGAATCCATCCGGGGACTTGGTTCGCCTTTAAAGAGAACATAAGGAGATCTTTTAATTACCTTCTTTCCGGGCCCTACTTTCAGAGCGTATTAAACATAAAAGCAGGCATAAAATGTTCAAAAAGAATTTATTACACTTACCGACTGGGATGAGGGGGAGCCGGAGAAGGATTTTCAAGCATAAGAGCATCTGTTAATTTTTTTAAAATGGCTAGCTTTTATGCGGTAACTTTTTCGTATCAGAAGGAAAGTGACGGAAGAAAATCATCAAAAATTCTCACCTGATATTTTTCCAACACCTCCCAATCCAGTGTAAGATCCTGAGATCCCGGTACTCGTATCCTCGTCTTCATCGTCGTCGTACGTCGTCGCCGGTGAGCCCTATATCTGAATCTTGACGAATTTCCCTCTCTATCGCGAGACAGCCGCCTACAATTGAAAGAGGCGGCCGCGGCGGCGACTAGAGTTAGGGTTTTCGTTCGCGTTTCAGATCTAACCCAAAAATAGGGGAAATTTTACTTTTTGTTCTTCTATCGTCTGGATGTAGACGCCCAAAAATAGGAATTCATGGTACTAAGAAAGGTAAAGGTAAATAAATTAATTGATTGTAGGGTTTTTTGGTATTAGTCCCTCCAAGCCTACCGAGTCTTGCGAAATCAACCCTACGTTTGTTTGGTAATGAAAAAACAAAATCATGATCGGGTTGACTACAAGACAAACACTGTTAATTATCACATTACCCCCTCTTCTTAATAAAAGATGTAAAAATCATCTCCTTTAATGTTTCAAACAATGGAGGAGAAGATTGTAGATTCCTTAAATGAGAAATTTTGAGTTACGGTGTTTTTATGACCATTAGGGAAGAACTCAAGTGAATTTGATTTTTTTTTTTTTAAGAAAGAGGATTTTTGGTTGAAAGTATTATGAAATGGATTTAGAAAGTTTACAGAGGAGTAAAGCCCTAATTTTGCTTCTAATATTTAGATTTGACGGAATATTCTACTTAAATAAATGTATTTAATCATAGGGATGATTTTGCATGACGTCATATGATTTGAGGGACTAACATGGAATTCCAAGATTTGAGAGACTAATATGAAATTATTGAAGATTTGAGGGATTAATATGTAAAAAATCCGTGATTGCAATTACGTTGTCAAAGCCCTTGTCCGAGTACAAAAAACATTTTTTTTTTCTCTATATATATATATACTTCATTGCTAAAAGTGGCTTTCATCCCATTTCCAAGCTCAAAAGCTAGGAAAATGGATTCCAAAGAAAAGTCTCATTTTGGGTGAACATTTCTATAGATTTATGCCCCTTCAAACAAAACAAACAAAAAGAAGAAGAAGAAGAAGATATTATAAGAAATTATTAACATGGCGGGACCAGAGGCGTGGCTGACAATTTGGGGGCCCGGTTCTAAATTTCAATTGGGGCCTCTTAATTAGAGGTGTTATCAGATTTTCACTAGTTATCTTGTTCAGTCTCATATTGTGTGTATGTCAATCCTACTTGATAGTTGCATGCTAAAATGAACATGAACTACATTCAACCCATGCACCTTTATTTAACCTCTCTTCATAGCCTACTAAATCCTTGAAATAAATTCTTAGAAATCAAGAATATACCTGCTTCCCTAGACAAAGGTCAGGCGCCACACAACATAGGCTCATCGCACTCGTCAAAGTGAACTCATTTGGCTGCACATTCTCCACCAACATATCTGCAAACATCCTCAAGCCCAACTCAGCATTACCATTATCCCCACAAGCCAACACAATTGTCGTCCAAGAAATCACATTCTTATCCTCAATCCTCTGAAAAGCCTTAGCTGCCAATTTCAACCTTCCACATTTTGAGTACAAGCCACACAAAGAATTCCCAATGCTAGTATCCAACTCAAGCCCATACTTCACTAGATACCCATGAATCTGTTTGCCAAAATCAATCTCGCAAAGCGAAGAACAAGCACTCAAAACCGATCCAAGAGTGTAATTAGTAGGGTAACACCCTGTTTGTAACAATTCAACGAACAACTCAATACCAGATTATGGTTTCGAATTACAAACATAGCCAGTGATCAGAGAGGTCCAAGTGACAACATTTCTTTCAGGAATTTCATCAAACAATTTGCGTGCATGGATGTCGGCGCCACACTTCATATATGCATTGATGAGTGAAGTTGAAATGAATACATCTCGATAGGTTCCAGTTTTGAGAATGTGGGCATGGAGGGATTGAGCCATCGGAAGCGACCCGAGCGCGGTGCATTGTTGAAGGAGAGGCACATAGGAGGAAGTTTCGACGTGGGATTCTTCTGATTCATCCCTGGGTGCTGCTGGAGTTCTCTGGGAGCAATAAAGATTGGATTGTGGAGAATTAGGGGGATGGGTAGTGAAAAGGAGAAGAAAAGAGCTTTCGAAGGATGAGGAACCCAAAGTAGGCTTCTTTCCGTGGATCCAGAGCTTGTTTTGCTTCCGCTTTCAAGAGGTAAAGAGATTGGGAGACGAGATGATGGAAAAATTTGATATCAAGCTTGGGAACTAAAATCCTCACTCTTAACCCTAGAATTATGACCGGAGGTGAGAAAGGCGCCGCCGGAGCGTCGGTTGGTGATTAGGGGGCCCCTCCAAGCGGGGGGCCCTGTTCTGCGGAACCTGAAGTTCCGCCCCAACGGCGCCTCTGGGCGGAACAAGACAAGCTCTAAATCGAGAGGATGTTTATGTGTTTGGGATTGTTAGGCTAGGACAATTGCCCAATAATCATACATCCTAGACTTTTTATTAAGACTAAAGAAATTTGTGCTAGATATTTAGATAGACTTTTTGAAATTTTTGGATAGAATTCAAAATGGTGGAGTTTCGGACTACATTTATATTCATGGACTACGTGAATTAGGATTGTGACAGATTACTTATTGTGTAAATAGTAACTATGACCAATATAACTACAAATTTAGTTAGTAAATTAGAAGTTTAGTAAATTGTTAAATCAATAAAGTTAGCTATATAGTTTCGGGTTTTCGAGATATTGGTGCCTCAAATCTTATATGTTTTGAAAGAAGTCCTCCAAATCCTGATATATATTTTTAAATAAATCCCTCGAAGCCTACAACTTGTCCCAAATTAGTCCAAGTTAGCCTTTTCCGTTAGGAACTAACTCGACTAGGAGTGAAAATAGTCATACGGCGAATACCAAATCATTGTTTCTCTCACTGCAGGAGGAACGAAAGACAAAAGGATGAGCTTAAATATTAATTGGTTGAACACTGTTGACTATATCGCTCATGCATCTAATTAGCTAACCATCATCTTCGGTCACAAAATTTTGGGTGAAGTTACTTTCTATAAAGTGAGTACGAATCGAAAGATCTTACCAAGACAGATTTTTATGATCGGAAACATTGTATATATTGAATCACACAATCTCTCTACAAGACTTCTTCATAACTTGCTAAAGAAAACTTTGCGCTCCATTAATGGGCTTTAATGTGATGTTGTAGACTTGCTCACGCTTATTACTTGGGGCAAGTGTTGGGTACCAACTCAAACTTCAAGTCGGATGTGGGTTTGAAGGCTAGGCCCAAACCTAGTAGTTTTCTTAGAGGCCAAGTTAACTTGGCGGGCAAGTTAGGATTGTGTCTTTGATTCTTTGTATAACTTCATGAGAGTTAGATAGGGTTAGAGATCTATCATGATTAGGAGATTAAGTGTCATGATTAGGAATTTAAATCCTATTCTAATTAGGAAATTAGACAAGAGATAGAATTTTGGTTTTCCTATATATATTCTTCTATTGTTGGAGGAAAAACCAAAGAGAGTAGAGAGAAGGAGAGAGACAATATTCTTGTAATCATTGTTTTAGAGGGTGTAACCAGGTTCAAGGGTATTGTGAGAGAGAAGATTTGACAGTCTTTGTCCGTGTAAAAGATTATAATTTGGAGGTGATAGTGGATTGATTTTGATCCCGTGGTTTTTCCCTATTGAGGGTTTTCACGTTAAATCTCGTGTAATTCTATTTGCTACGTTTGGTGATTTTTGGGGTTTTTACGATATTTAAAAATCCCAACAAGTGGTATCAGAGCGGGGTTCGACGGTTCATGGAGGTTTGACTGGTGTGCGATTGGTGAAGGCGTCAGTGGTCGAAGCATTGTGATCAACATCAGGGGAAACAAAAAAATTGTATTGTAGCAGTGAATAATGTAGCGGTGGCGGGAATACTGTTCACGTGGGTGAGGGTTTGCTTACAAACTTTTAAATCAAATCCGACGATGCAGATTCATTTGTCTTTTGGTCGAGGATTTGGATGCGGATTTTAGTGATCCAGTAGTCGTTCCTAGGGTTTTTCAACGTGCTGAGTTCGTTTTTTATGTCAGTTTTAACAAATTTAATTTCTACAGTGAGTGATTTGAATTTTGATTGTAGTTAGAGGATGATGACTTCTTCGGGTTAGAAGTTCGATATTTCGCTATTCAACGGCAATATTCTAATTAGGAAATTAGACAAGAGATAGAATTTTGGTTTTCCTATATATATTCTTCTATTGTTGGAGGAAAAACCAAAGAGAGTAGAGAGAAGGAGAGAGACAATATTCTTGTAATCATTGTTTTAGAGGGTGTAACCAGGTTCAAGGGTATTGTGAGAGAGAAGATTTGACAGTCTTTGTCCGTGTAAAAGATTATAATTTAGAGGTGATAGTGGATTGATTTTGATCCTGTGGTTTTCCCTATTGAGGGTTTTCACGTTAAATCTCGTGTAATTCTATTTGCTACGTTTAGTGATTTTTGGGGTTTTTACGATATTTAAAAATCCCAACAAGTGGTATCAGAGCGGGGTTCGACGGTTCATGGAGGTTTGACTGGTGTGCGATTGGTGAAGGCGTCAGTGGTCGAAGCATTGTGATCAACATCAGGGGAAACAAAAAAAATGGTATTGTAGTAGGGAATAATGTAGCGGTGGCGGGAATACTGTTCACGTGGGTGAGGGTTTGCTTACAAACTTTTAAATCAAATCCGACGGTGCAGATTCATTTGTCTTTTGGTCGAGGATTTGGAGGCGGATTTTAGTGATCCAGTAGTCGTTCCTAGGGTTTTTCAATGTGCTGAGTTCGTTTTTTATGTCAGTTTTAACAAATTTAATTTCTACAGTGAGTGATTTGAATTTTGATTGTGGTTATAGGATGATGACTTCTTCGGGTCCGAAGTTCGATATTTCGCTATTCAACGGCAAGGCAAATTCAACAGTATGGCAGTGCACAGTTCAAGATATTCTTGTGCAGCATGGTGTTGATCAAGCTTTGAAGGAGAAGAAACCTGAAGGATTGAAGGATGTTGAATGGAGTTCTGTTAATGTTAAATGATCACACAGTCAATTATGTCCAGGATTAGATAACTTTATTCAGTATTGAAGAAGGGGCCGATTTCTTCCCTGACTTTATGTCTGGTTCTTGAGTGGGGTATCTAAAAAATCTGCACAGGTAGAAATTTGTAAGAGGGTGGGGTTTGATTTCCCTGTTGTACCTCCAACGATCAAGTTAATTAG